TTATCAATGATTGACGTAAAAAATTATTTAAAATGTCCTTCATTTATTAACAGTAGAAATAAATATGTATATAACCATTTTTTGTGTGAAGAATAAGTATATAACCATTATTAGTAATGAAATGTCCATTTTCATGAAAATCATAATTCATTACATATAATTTCATAATCATTAGTATTAGTAATGAAATGTCCTTTTCCAATTGTTAGTATAAATTTGCAACAATTTTTTTTTAATTGCTAAAACACATGTTGTGTTAAATCAGCGTTTTGATATGAGATTTTGTGTAAAGTTAGAAATCGTTTGCTCTTAAACTAAAATTGTCTTATGCTGTGTATAAATCTAGTTAAAATTTTCTAAATATGTTAAAGATTTTTAATAAATTTAAAATTCGGTGCGTTGGAGTTTTGTATATTTTGTGTACTGTCAATCTATCGTCTTTATATTCATCATTTCTTCAAAACTGATTGTATTTCTTTACTTTTTTTTGTCAAACAAACCTTAATTAAAATATGTCACCGTGATTAGTAATCTAATTGGGCGGGAAGATGTTTACAAAAGAAAATTTTACAGATCTAAAACGTGCAGAACGGGCCAAACAGTCTGCCATCAACTTAAAAGTACAAGAAACCAAAAAGATAGAAAATGGGGGAAAACGGCCGTGTATCTCCCAAAATTTTACCGAGAGGATAGAGAAAGTCGGCCACTCCTCCGGATTGCAAACGATATCCAATAAATTTTAACAGTCTGTTTCAGAAACATAACACTTTAGGCACTCTCTCCAATATACATGACATTTCCCAATTAGAGCTTCCATCTCCGAATGTAATGAGGATCTCTAGTGGGTGAGATCTTTCACGCCAAAAAGGACAGTTTCATCACCTTGAACGCATACCCATCCTAACCCTGAAGTAATATTTGTCTCCTTCCAAGAGCCTTCAAAGTGACAACGCAATTGCGTTGATGATTGCGCCACTAGTTGTGATACTGTCCCTGAAATAATTGAACTCTCCGATACATCTAGTTGTGCGCTCGTCCATGCCAAAAATTCTCTCTCAGCCAATCGAAATGTATTCAATGGTTCAAATGTCACTCCTTGGA